GGTCCCCGCCGAGGATTAGTTCTTCAGGCGAAAGGGTCAGAGGGGGGGGGTGGGCTGGATGTCCTACGGGGGTCCCTTTCAGGGTTCTGTCCTTCGGTAAGGGTCTGTTTGGAGGAGGGGTGGGTTGGGATGGATGACCTCCGAGGTCCCTTCCAAGTCCATTTTTTTTAAAAAAAAAAAAATTGTTTCTTTGGACAACAAACCTTGACAAATATACAAAGGTAAAGCAACAAATAAAACCATCTTTCCATTATATACAGTGTGTCCGTTGCTGTTCGTTTAAGCTTATTATGTTTATTATTATTGTTGTTACAATTAGGATTAGGATTATGATTATGTTGATGATGATATTATCATTATCATTACGTATCGTTATCGTTATCGATCTTCGGGGAGATTCACAGCCTTTGGGGCAGGTTGGTAGCTGAAAAGCTCGTCCTATTATTATTGTTGCTGTTTTATAGTTTTGTTGTTTTGTTTATTTTTATTTTTATTATTATTCTTGTTGTTGTGGTTGTGTTGTGGTTGCAATGTTTATTATTGTTATGTTCATGGTTATTGTTTATTGTGGTTATTATGTTGTTTATTATTATGCTTATTATTATTATTGTTGCTGTTTTGTTGTGCTGGTTATTATGTTTATTATGATTATGTTTATATTTATGGTTCTTTATGGTTATTATTATGGTTATTATGTTTGCATTTATTATTATGGTTATTATGTTTATGATTATGTTTATGATTGTTATGTTTATGTTTATTATGGCTATTATTGCTACATTTATTATGTTTATTATGCTTATGTTTATGATGTTTATTATTGTTTTTGTTTATTACGGTTATGTTTGTTTATTATGTTTTTGTTTATTAATATTATTATGGTTATTATTATGGATATTGTTTGTGTTTATTATGGTTATTATTATGGTTATTATGTTTATTATTATGGTTAGTATGATTAGGTCATGACATTTGTGTTAATTATGTTTATTATGCTGTTTATTATTATGGCTATTATGCTTATTATACTTATTGTGCTTATGTTTATTATTATTGTTGTTACGGTTATTATGTTTATGATTACTATGTTTATGTTTATTGTTTATTATGGTTTGTTTATGTTTATTATTATTATGTTATTATGCTTATGATGTTTATTAAGTTTATTATGTTTATTATTATTGTTATTATGCTTATGCTTATTATGCTTATGTTTATTATTGTTATTATGCTTATGATGTTTATTATGCTTATGTTTATTATAGTTATTATTATGGTTATTATTTTATTATTATGGTTACTATTATTGTTATTATTACATTTATTATATTTATGTTTATTTTTATGTTTATTATTATGCTTATTGTGCTTATTATTATGTCCTTATTAGACTATAATTATAAATTCACATCATCCTTTTCAAACAAAAACTTAACTTTTACAAGATCTAATTTATGTTATCGTATAATCATTAGATTCAACAATAACATATAATTACCTGATTTTATCTTTACTCTTATATGATCTATTCTGCTGTATTTTATTTCCCTTGGTCCCTTGCAACTCTTGTCATTCAGTAAGGGTCTCCCTGTTTGAGGAGGGGGGTGGGCTAGATGACCTACGGGGGGTCCCCTTTCCAACTCTGTCCTTCTGGAAGGCTCTCCTGTTTTGAGCAAGGGGGGGGGGTCGGACTAGACGGCCTCCGAGGTCCCTCCAAGTGTGTTTATTCGGTCAGGGTCTCCCGTTTGAGCCACGGGGGTTGGACTGGATGACCTCCACGGCCCCTTTCAGACTCTGATTCGGGAAGGCTCTCCCGCGTGAGCCGAGGGGTTCGACTAGATGACCTCCCAGGTCCCTTCCCGCTCTGGGATTCCGTTCGATGAAATATCCCGTCTCGCGCAACCCCTCCCTGCCCAAACCCCGTTTCCGTTTGGCGAGCCAGTCAGGAGGTCCCAGCCAAGCCACCCCCGTCTCCTTGGAAGGGGGGTTGTGCCAGGGTGTGGGGGGTGGGAGGGGCTTATCCCTCAGGGGTGCAATGGGGTGCCCGTCCCCGGGGGAGGGGGGGTCTTCTCCGTGCTCACCTCCGCCGAATAGCAGCGCACCGGGATGCCGAAGGCTCGCGCCAGTCCGAAGTCCGCCAGCTTCAGCTCCCCGTTCTAGACACCGAGGCAAGAGAGTCGGTTAGGAACGAGAGAAGGGCGTGGGGGGGGCACACCATTGGCGCATGGGGGGACAGGGGACAACATCCCCCCTCCTCAAAAAATGCCAACCAATCCAGCTCACCGTTGGCGGCGGGCCAGCCCGTCCCCCCCAATCCCCAAACGGCCAAGGATTCCGCTGAACGAGAATAACCTCGGCACAAAAGCTCAATTTTGTCCAAACTTTGGGGGGGTCCTACCAGGAAGAGGGGGTGGTGGGAAGCCCGGGAGGACTTTTGTGGGGCACGATTCCAGATTTTGGGGTCAAATCTGCCCCGCCCCCGCCCCCCCGTGCACCCGCAACTCCCGGGCATCCGCGCCGTTTGGACAAATGCCGGCCGTACGAGCATCCGGAAAGGCGGGGAGGGTGAGCGCTCACCGTTTCCTCCGTCCCATGATGAGGAGCAAGAGCGGTTGTCGGAGGGAAGACCCCCCCCCCACTCCCCGTTCGACTCACCCGGTTGATGAGGAGGTTCTGCGGTTTGAGGTCCCGGTGGAGAACGTTCCGGCTGTGACAGAATCCGAGACCCTTCAACAGCTGGTACATGAAGGACTGCGGGGGAAAAGGCGACGGGGCAGAGGCGGGGAGGCGGTGCGCCCGTCAGCCAGAAGGATAACGGGCAGCTGGGAGTCCCAAAGCCCACCCTCCCCGCCTAAAACAGTGGACGTCAGCTGGTTCGCACCGGTTGAAGAGAACCGGTTGTCCAGACAATTCGTCAGATCTGACCCCCCAGTTCTGACTCAGTCCGTCCTGTGCTTTTGTCTTTCTCAGCCCAGCTGACTGGTGCAGTATGGCAGATCGCTGCGCCCTCCGCTCTGCGGAGAAGGTCACTTCCCAGGCTGAAAACGGGTTTTTCGAACGCCGCAAAAACTGGTTGAATTCCCCACCGTCTTACCTTCACAATCTCGGGGTCCAAATCGCCGTTGCAGCTGTCAAAGTACTTCTTCAGGTCCTGCAGGGGGTGCCTAGAGTTAAGCGGAGGGGAGGGAGGAGGAAGAGCAGCCCGTCCCATCCCGTCTTCTAAGCGGGGGGATATGGGGAGAGCTTCCATTTCAAAGGGGGGAGGGGGCGGTCGCAAAGGGGAACCCCCCTTCCCCAAGTGACAGGAAACAAGGAAGTCGGACAATTGAGGTCGCGTCGCTTTGGAGCGAAAGGAAAC